ATATTATAAATATTATAGCCTTGTTAAAAATATTATAGCCTTGTTAAAAATATTATAGCCTTGTTAAAAATATTATAGCCTTGTTAAAAATATTATAAATATTATAGCCTTGTTAAAAATATCATAAATATTATAGCCTTGTTAAAAATATTATAAATATTATAGCCTTGTTAAAAATATTATAAATATTATAGCCTTGTTAAAAATATTATAAATATTATAGCCTTGTTAAAAATATTATAGCCTTGTTAAAAATAGTATAGCCTTGTTAAAAATATTATAAATATTATAGCCTTGTTAAAAATATTATAAATATTATAGCCTTGTTAAAAATATTATAAATATTATAGCCTTGTTCAAAATATTATAGCCTTGTTAAAAATATTATAAATATTATAGCCTTGTTAAAAATATTATAAATATTATAGCCTTGTTAAAAATAGTATAGCCTTGTTAAAAATATTATAGCCATGTTTAGAATGCGACTCGAGACCCAAAATGATAGTGAGCTATGTTCATGTGTGTTATTTTCATATAAAAACCAGTAGTTAATTATGATGACCTAACATTTCACTGAGTCAAACGTTTTATCATCAAATTCTGAATTAAAAAATACCTACATGTTCTTAATTTTAGATCTTAGACCATCATCAATATCAGCTGAGGTAGCTGGTTCAGTTTTAGCTGCTGATTTCAGATCTGTTTCTGTTTTAGCTGCTGATTTCAGATCAGTTTCAGATGGTGTTTTCTGTACAACTTTAGCTGTTGGCATGGTTTTTGTTGACTTTTGATCTATTTTAGCTGACCTAGCCACATTTTTAGTTCTTGTTATTGTATCAATTTCAGATGAAATCTGTACATTTTTAGCTGTTGATTCATTTTTAGCTGTTATTTCCATATTTTTAGCTGCAGACTTTGATGTAGTGTCAGATGTTGACTTAACAGCAGCGGATGTTATTGTTGATGCTGTAATGATGGTTGTTTTAGTCGTTGTTTCTGTGATAAAAGCTGACTGATATGATGTAGTACTGGAAGGTTCGGTAGCTGTTTTATTTTGAGGAGACTTCTGAAAGTAGCTACTAATACCGACTGTATTCTGTCTCTTTCCCCCTCCCCCACCACCTCCCACCATTCCATATAACTAGAAAATAAAATTTACAAATCATTACTCATACTGTTGAAAAGTATTATAATAGAGAGTATTTTTAAATTCCACAGTGGCTCCCCCTGTCAATAATACAGGAGTCATCTACAGGCTGTTAAATTGACAGAAATTAAAATATTTCTCTAATTGAAAACTGCTTTATAGTGTCTGTGTTCATTCACCAATCTAGGTATAGATAAGTTTGATGTCCAGTCTGATGTCCAGTCTGATGTCCAGTTTGATGTCCAGTTTGATCTAATGAAGACCAGAGTGTATTGAGGGAAACTAAGAATAAATTATAAAGTTTTATATGAAGTTACAATCTATATCTAAAATCATTGGTCTCAAGACAGTTGAAGGGAAAGAACTCTAGATTAAAGTAAGGGAGATAACTAATAAATATTTAATATGTAGACTAATGGTACTTACTTGTGTCATGATGTTCTGACTGTTAGTTTGTTCTATAGGACATACATACACCAACAGTTTCTCTTTATAGATGGTGAAAAATCTGTAATCATCTAAAATAATTCAAAATATGAAAGATGGTAGGTCTATTTCTAATATATTATTTCTGATATTATATCCAGACAACATAGATTTATACAAATATCTTGGATATTAAGTTGTCTAGTCTTTAAGACATTAGTCTCTAGGTTTATAGACAGACCTGTGTTTTAGATAAAGATACTGTCATCAGTGATAGAGAGGAGTCTTGAAGACACAATATTTCATTATTTATTGTTGACTGGTAGGTTTATTATCTTATCTTATTAGGTAGATATAAGATATTTGATTGTCTCTAAGATACTTGACAGACCTGTGTTATGTATAGAGAGTTCAGTATTATTATCACTGTAATACATGTGTTTTAGATAAAGTCACTGTCATCAGTAATAGGGAACATGGAATAAATATTGTGAGAGAAATAGAACTACTGATATCTAAAAATTATAAATTTGTAAATATTGAAAGAAATGTTTTGTAAATCAGGACTCGTGACTGTTCTTACAGTAGAGCATATATTAGTCTGTTTGTGACCTTTTCATTAGAAATAGTACTAACATCTAATTAATCAGACAGTGGAATAACTCAGACAGTAGAGTTGGACTGTCGTCTGCTAGGACAGTGGAATAACTCAGTCTGTAGTAAATT